ATTATATTATTTCATTAAAAAATAATTGGAACTATTTTGTTCGCCGGTAGCATCACAAATAATATCAAATCTAAGTATACGCATCAATGCATCAAAGTATTGATGAATAGAAGATGTAGGATAAAAAGAAATTGTATAAATATGTAGACGACAGTATTATTATTATTACTATTATTGATGACTAAATTTTTGGTAGACAAAAAAAAAAACGATTATGATTACAGAGTATTTTCTCATTTATCACATATCACTGTTACATTTCGTAGTATTATTATGAATTTATATTGTATTATTTCTATATTAAATAATTTATATCTACAAGGTATATATACTTGTTGTTTGAGGGTAAGAAGCAAGTAGGACACTATCTGCATTTACTATAAAAAAATAAACTTTCTAATCAAATAAAATCTATCGAAAAATAGAATTGACTTCTATAAATCGATATAAATTCGGACGAATTTTGTTTTTCTTGAATTTCCAAAGTTTACATGTTCGGTGTTAGAACAAAATGCTATTCATTTATAGGAGATCAACTCAAAAAAATAATAACACTTAACTAGAAAGAAATGATAATGGCTAATTTGAAAATAGGTCAAGATTACAACGGAATAACAAGAAATGATTTTGATGATTATATAATTATATTCTTAGAACGTCAAAACACTTTGTGACAGAAGAAGACAAATACGTCTTGATATATTTTCGTATTTCTATATGTTATATTTCCAAATTATCTGCTGTATTGTTTTTGTACATTAGCAGTGAATCTAATGTAAAAAAACAGCATACATGAATAACTTATGTTTATGTTTTTTTTTTTCTGTTTGAGAATGAATCATCTGTCAGCATAATGATCATTATCATAATCTGACAGCATTAATTGTACTGTTGCTCTTATACAAACTACATTCGATATGTATTTCTACAATCTAAATTTGGTGATCTTTTTTTTTGGAAACTTACAGAGTGCAACAAATGACCTGTATCTCAATTCATAATGATTTATGTCATTAAATTTCATTCTCAATGGAAGAGCTTACTTTTAGTTGAATCCTAATGTGTTCTTCCTCTGCCACAATATTTTTACACACTCTTTACTTTAGCTCAATTTTACATAATACAAAAGAAAAAGCTCAGCTGTTTCTCATCAAAACCAAGATGATCAACTAATTTGTTAATCTTCTCGATGATACTTTTGTTTAGATAGAGTAAATGTGTTAACTTTGGATTGTTTATTTTATTACGCAGTTAATCGAATTCTCGATAAAGCATAATGTAACTTTAAACTAAACAAAATTTTCTGAAAACGTGTTTAAACATCCTAATTGCAGTACTCATTTGCACATTTTCACGCCGAGTCAGATAACATCAAAAGTAGCTACTTTCATCATGAACGATGCGTTAAAACATTTGAGAAGGTAACTTTCATATCTTCAAAACGTGCAGACATGTGTTTACTGCAGTACTTTGACGTTTTATGAAGATTAGAATGATCTATTTTTAATGTGTGGTACATATCAAGGAAATTGTGACAAAAATATTTTAGACGTTTTCCAGATGCAAAAGTCACTTTTTTTTCCGTAGCGTGTCTGCTTGAAAAGTTACAATATAATATTTTTCACGATCGAAACGCATGTTTTCTTGTTAAACATTTGATCATATACTCAAATATATAATTTTCTAAACAAATTAAAAATAATGAAATTTTGAAGAATCTTAAATGTGAAGTTTTACAAGTGGAAAAAATAAATAATACAACATAAGATGAAAAAGCAATTGAAATTGGAATTTGAGTGCTAATACTAAGACTATGTCAATAAAACTGCTACGAATTTTATGTTTTTCTTTCTGTCGTCTTTGTCGAACGGATTTTAAGTAACATCTTACAAAAAAACAATCAAGTATTGATTCTAATCCAGATAAAATGTCATCAATATATTCATATTTATTTTTGGTACTATTCTGTCCGTTATCGATTCGACTATGTCCTTAAAAATAAACAAGTATAAAGCAAATGTGCAGATTATATATAACAGTAATTTAGATTCTTAAAAATATTACGGTTTTCTCAATTCGAAACTCTTTTGTGTATAATAATTACAAAAATAATTCAATAGATTAAAAGTTTTTGATTCATTTAACTATTCAGTTACTAATAAAGAATAAACATACGTAAAATACAGTGGTTGAACATCATGAACATTTGTGTTTCTTACCACAGGAATTTAGTATGGGCCGTAAAAAAACGATAATGTAGGCAGTTCCTGTTGCTTGACGTTTGCATTTATTGAAATGCGTATAAAAAAAAACTTACATTATAAGTAATTGACTTAGTTTCAAGCGATGATTAAGTTTCATGACGCGTATATAAGTCATTGATAATGATCCAAAGGATTAATAGCTATAAGAAGAAAGAGTAAAATAATATTGAGAAATTTGGTTTTAAAATAAAAGATTATAATTAATTTTCACTTTTATTGTATTGCCTCATCGAAGAAAGTCTACATCTGAAGAAATAGCCTTTAAACTAACTATTGTCTATGCCAATGACGACGATTATTCGAAAAATTTATTTCTTGCAACTCCATTCAAACAAACAATAATATGCTCTAATATTATTTGGGGTACATCTGATTAATTGTTCTATATCCGTTTAATATTCATACATGAGTGAATTGGAACTTTGTTATACAATAGGTGTTTTCGATTATCTACGCTATAACTTTTGTTTCGATCGAATGATTTTCAAGTTATTTCCTTAGTTCCATTCTCTACATCTACACTACATTTCATGTTTTTATCTAATATCGTTCCTAGACTACAAGATTGACAGTTAGAAAAAAACGGTACTTTTCAGCAAGACTTTTATAAAGGAGACACTTGTCTGAGAAAATAAAGAAAGAAAGAGAAAAGAAAATGTAACTAGACTGTTTTTTAGCTTGGATCATTCTATCAAAATATATGATTCATTGGTCTATACATCTTTCTGTTCGTATACTACTGCTCTCGACATTCCCAGAACGTCAATTAATAGAAAACTTTTGCAATATAGGAATACTTACATTTCCTTATTTCTATATTAGAAAAAAAAAAGGATCGGAGTTCCTATAAAAAAATAATATATGCATGCACTCTGTATAGTGCCATTTTGAAATTTGTTTAATCTTTAACTCATGAATGATTGTTCTGATTTTATTGCAACTCTCGGATTAAATAGCGCTCAACAAGTTGTATTAGCGATAACAAAATCAATTATCTAGTTTTTAATTTTTCGAATATATGACAAAATATACAGTGACGCCTTTTTCTGCAGATATCTCCAGTTAAATCAACACAAAAAGATTCAGTTCGAGTATAATGTAAATCACGAGGAAACTACCTCAACTGATGGAACCAGCCATTTGAGCTCATATTATAATCACAGGCAGGTCCCACTGACCATTTTTAAGTACTGTTATGTTATAAGCTCCTCAATTAGTTAAGAAAGTTTTATTTTCGTTCTTTGAAAGTGAATAACAACCCTGTTTTAATAAAAAACAAAAACGCGCATATTTCTATATCGCAAAAAAATAAGAAGAGAGAGCAAGGACAAATGGTTTATTCCCACCTGTGCAATAAGATATATACTTGGAAAAAAAGAAGATTATGTATTATTTTGTCCTTCTAACTTGGAAATAACATAGTTCGAGTAAAAAAAATCAAACGACAAGAAAGAGGAATAGCAAAAAAGGAAGAGAACGACAAAAGAAAGAAAAGAAGCAAAATACTATATGTTACACATGTAATAGCGAACGAATATCTCATTTGTTCAATTACATCTCCGGAAGATCGGATAACGGAGTTTTGATCTAAAGTTTTTCCTATCGATGAGTTCAATGAGTCTTAGAATATTCTGAAAGTTTCGTTCAAAAAAAAATGTTCTTTCGTCAAGATACTGAATTTCTAAAAATAGTTAATTGCCATCGATATATCATAAAAATCAATTTGACTTGAAAATCCAATAACTCAACGAAAAAACATTCTTTTCAGATAAAATTTTCAGAATGTTCTAAAGGTCATTAGACCAATAAATAGACAAAATTTTGAATAATAACTCCTTTATTCACTCTTCCGGTAGTACCTACATTATATATATATATCAAGAAATCAATAAACTGTTCATAACTCGGTGTCAAAGACCAATGACGAAAAAATCTTTTTAGGTTTTTGATATTCTCATTGATACCTGTATGTAGGTTCAATATGAGTTCGAACGGTAGGTATCATTTAGAGTAATTTCCTCGTCAGAAAAATTCGATGAACAAATCTGAATATATTGTGAGCTGTTCTTGTCTATTCACTTCCTATTCAGAGCTGTAAGAATAACTCTATTTTTTTCATCGCATAATCATTGAATTAAGAACAAATAAAATTTTACACCGTGCATCGCGCTTTATATTTAGTGAAGTATTGAAAAACTTTTGCTGTATAACATAGACACAAACTATAATCAAATGTGGTATACAGAAATTGTTTATGTCTATTTTCACAATTTTCTCGCACTATTTACACTGAAGGGCTGCCGTTTACTCATATATATTGGATCTTTCCGAATGTATTTGACAAACGACATACGATATGCTTATCGAAATTTACAAGCACGTGCGCAAACAACAAAACAGAAAAAACCAACAAAACATTAACTTGAGATAGTTGAATGATTGCAGTTTAATGCATTGAGAAGTTGGTAAATTGATTGAAATCCATCAATATGAATATGAAATTTCCAAATATGTCGTCCTTGGGAAAAAAAAATGCATGTTTATAATGTCCCTATGACGAAATTATTGTTTTTTTTTTTTAGGTTGGTTTTTTCTTCTTATGACAGAATGGAAGAATAGAAAAAAACTATTAAGAGACACATCGAAAAAGTCATTTTTATTTATTCTGCACTATTTTTACAAGCGTTCTTGTGTTAGCATAACATAGTTGCTGATTATTTTAAAACGTATTATCAAATGAATACAACGACGAAAATATCAAATGACAATAGAACTGTATTTCCTCAAAGACCATTAATAGTTGCTGCATGGGTAGATCAGGGTATAGGTGAACCAGGAATGCACAAATATATAAAAGAACGTTTTGAAACTCTTTCTAGTTTTATTACACAATGGTTATATTTTGATTCTTCGGATAATTTTACATCTTATATTGAAAACAATCCTAATATTAAATTAATTTGTGTTATGTCTGGTGGAATGTCTCGTTTATTAGTACCAAAACTTTCTCATCTTGCTGCCTTACATACTGTTTATGTATTTTGTGTTGATATAGAACGAGCTAAACAATCAATGGAAGATGAAATTAAAGTTAAAGGTATATTTAATATAGAGGATGATGTATATGAAACGATGGCTGATGATTTATCGAAATTATTAGTTGAAGAAGGAATTGCATTAGCTCAATTAGATGAACGGAATCTTGCAAGATTAAATTATGAAGAAGCTAAACGATTGTTAAGTACTCAAGCAAAAAAAGTAAGCTTGGATGAAGAAAAAGCAAGAATCGAAGAAATTGATATAAGACTCGATCAATTACTTGTTTAAATCAAAATATTATTCGTATATATTACATGTATTACTTCGCAAGCCAATATAAATCGTAAACTTTATTACTCATCTTTTCGAAAATCAAAACTATTTGTAAGCCAAAAATCAATTTTTCTTTTTGAATAAATTATATGACTATATTTAACGATTTTGATACTATTTGTCTTGGGAAAAATATTTTGAAATTTAATTGAAATAGATCTCATTTTAAAGGTTTAATATAATGAAAATTTCTTTTCTCAAAAAACAAAAAGTGATCAAATATTGATTTAGGTATTTTTCAAAAATTCTTTCTCTCAATAGAAGATTTCGAGTTTGCTATCGTATCCCATTTATTTCCATAAATTTTAATGAAAAATGTTTTTCAGAAAACCAACACGGTTTCGAAAATGTCGGAAGATATTTTTCGAGTTTTAAACGTCCATAAGTAATGCTGACTACAGTCTTCGAAGATTTTCAGCTCAAAACTAAAAACTATGCATATTTTAATGCAAATATACTAATTAAAGTTCCTAGTTTTTGAGAAACTAATTAGCTAAGAAAAACCTTATCTTACGTCCAGCATATCATTCCTTCGATGAGAGTCTTCTATTATGGAGAAAAGTTTAGTTTATTGAACTAGAACTTGATGATCATAAAGACTTGATTAAGATCGATTTCTATATCTATTGGTCCTTTTCATTATAATAGACAATTTCATCTAACGAGTAGGATATGAAACTTTCATCTTCTATAGTGATCATGATATATCAGCGTTTTTAAGCACCGTGTCTATGAATTAGCTTTTCTAATTCAACCATTTCCTTTTCTCTTCTGGAGCAAACAATTATATTAAAAATATGACCAAAAGTTCAAAGCTGGCAACATATGAACGAGAATAGTTTTTTTATATTATGTACAAATGTTCAAAAGCAGCTTCACTACGAACACACATATAGACATATTCGATTTGTTTTAACTCAAGAAGTTATTTGTTTTCGGCAACACGATAGTTGAGCTTCGAGATGTGCAGGTGTGGCTGCAAGGGTTGTTTTCTCTTTATTCATACCTGCACTCCGGCATAAATATTCATCATTCCGTTGTTTCACCATTATTTGCTTGACCATAACGAAAGTCTTCGATAATAATTTGATCATTATCCTTCGATGAGTATATAGTTGACATACTTAAGAAGAGATATATGTATTATTTGTTCATTGAATAGTTAATCAAATATTAATCATTCTTTTTATTGAGTCTCAGCGAACAATGTACATATAGCTTATTATTTATTTTAGTCAAAGCTACATCTGAAGGGCTCAACTGTTGGCGTACCATAGCTATTGTGAATGAACTACAGAAAATGATATGACACTTTGTCAACAATATCTCGTCGTTTATGACTGAAAATTTTTGGATCTATATATATAAGAAAAAGACCTAAACGTGTGTCACAACCTCTGAGACGGTACGAAAAAGTATGACAGAATCATCTGAAAAAAAAAGATTCGTTTACCTTTGGTTTTGTGCGAAAGAATATCTTAGTTTTCTTTCATTGACCCATCAAATATAAAATTTTATTATGGTAATCAATAATCACATTTCAAATAAAAATTTCTCAAAGCTTATCTTATGAAAATGAATTATATATATTTCGTCATCAGCAAAACAAAAATTAACTCATTTAGTTGAATTATAGTGATGATATCAAATTTTTTCTTTCGTAAAGTGACTTTTGAGCTATCCTGTACATTCAAATTTCAGACATTTTGCTTCAAAAGAGATTTACGGTAGAATACGTTTTTCGACAATTTTTAAAGTATCAATCTGTATAGACATATAGTACAAAAATTTTTCATTTGTAACTAATCAAAAAAAAGTCTCATGTCAGATAAATACTACTAAATAGTTGTATTAAACCATTGTTGTATAGCTTTGATAGCTCCTTCTGGTTGAGGATCTTCACTAGCAAAAGGTAATGCACCATATATAGCCTTGATCAAACAACCATTATCAAATGCTTCGGCTAAATTATATCGCATACTTTCTTCATCGCTATAATTAAAAAGATAAGATTCACTAACGGCAAAGTAAGATTGAGAAGGATCAATAACAGCAATCTGATGTTTAAGTTCTGTTAGATTATAGATAGCTGCACCTCGATTATCCATTGTAAATCCAGGAATTGAATAAGAATTGACAGCAGTCCAAATAGGTGGAACAGTTGTCTCTATAAGTGAAGAATTAATTGAAGCCATTGGTACAATGTGAGTGAAAATATGTTTTCGTGAAATATTATTATCAACACAAGCTTTAGCTAAATTTTGCAAATAATTGTGAATAGCTTCGTAGCAAAGTAAATTGAACAAGTTATCACGAGTCATATTTCGAATTTGAGCTTGAACAACTAATTTATCTTCAGTCCATCCTTGCCAATAAAGTGAAGCATAACCAAGTTGAGCGCCTGCTTCCCATTCAAGCATCGTAATGTTTCTTGCATTTAAAGGCCATTCAGCTATTGGTAAATGAGCTGAATCGATGTGTCGATAATTAAGAATGCTTGTTTCCCAACCGATATTAATACCAGCAAATAAATACGATTTATTTTGTTTATTTAATCTTGTAATCCATTGTGCAAGAGGTTTACCAATACTTTCGTTAAATTGCATAATCGAGAAGTTGATGAAATTTGGTGCACCAATAGCTGGAAATGCAGATGAAGGCGAACACCAAGGTCCCCAATTAAACCATGTTCGAGGAATGCGCGTCGGTAATTGACTTCTATTCGACGGAAATTCAATCCATTCTCGCATTGTTTCATTTTTCCAATATTTAATTACAGGTGCATCAACAGTCGACCTTTCTTCATCAGAACCCCAACCATAAATTGGGTCAATATGAATAAAAAGAGGGACATTTGTATATTCGGCCAGATCAAATGCTGTTTCAATTTCTGAACGGACGAAAGCACTCGATCGAGTAAGAAAACGTACCTGTTGCTTACCATATGCATACATGCGTTGACTATTCGGATTTATCTCACCAAATGTACGCTTTAATGAAGCAATATTAATAGTTTGATTAGGACCAGGACCTTCATCAGGACCACCGCCTTCAAAAATCAAGTATTGAATATCTCTTTCAGAAGTTATTATATGTATGGTAAATGGAAGAATCATAATAAAAAAAGTTGTAACCATTTTATTTAAAATGAAACATGAGCATTTCATATTCAATAAATGATTATTCAAATTTTAAAAAGTTTTATAATTTATTGTATGTTGAAAAACTCTTTCTCCCTTTTTTCTTTCGTCAACAATGTTTATCACATGCACATTATTTGCCCTTTGTTTTTCTTTACTTCATTCTTCACAGGTCAAGATAGCATTCTGCCGAAGATGTAAACAAGTAGAGTACGTAGTTAATGTTCGGCTTCCATATACAAGCTATATCATTGTATTTATATAATTAGTTATTAGCTTTGTTATGGATATTATCTCTATATTTATTGTTAGTCTCAGATGAAATGCTGCATTGTCAATAAGACAACAAATTGAGCGTAGCTTTAGATTTCAGTATGATCAGATAAACTTTAATAATAAAATAGTAATGGCGTTAAAATCTTTTGTATTATTGAGGTTCCATTGTGCTGTTAGAGTTCAACTTATTCTTGTGTGCTGTTTAATTATTATACAAGCGTTCACAAATGATTGAATTTGCAATTCTATATTGAACTACATGGCAAAAAATTATTTTGTTATATAAAGATTCCTTTCTTACGAGAAACAAAAAAGAAATAGCAGAAATATTTTGTTTATTTAAATTATAATCTTTTATATATTTACATGTTTCTCAACAATAATCCCAAACATTTTCTAAAATAATGTATTTAGTTCCATGAGAAAAGAAAAATAGAAAATGGTTTTAAATAAGAATACATTTAATACGCAAATAATTTATCAGTTGCTGATGTGTACGAACCAATTATTATGAATTATTGGTAACATGACGGCCTAAGAAATGAAAGCCCTCATCGTATCTGTTTGCTTCATGAGAAAGACTTTGTACTCTGTTCTATCTTTGAAATTATAAATGTTTGTCAACACTATCATATTTTTAAGTCTCTTAAACAACACTTTTATACATCGTTGACTTAAGTTTTATCAAATACGAACTAACATCAATATTGAAGTGTGTGATTAGATTTTTTGATGCTCTATTTCTTCCACTGACCATGATAGGCATACTATTAAAAGCAACATTGAATTTTTGATCTTTCACAAATTATTAAAAGAGACATTCATAATTTTAACACCAAACTTCAAGACGTCAGAATAATATTGGTTTTGTTTTGCCTGGCGCATCGAATATATATATAGGACGGTTTTGAAAGGAGTACCTTTTCCCACACCAATTCAGTTAATGTCTACTTCCAAAATTTCTTGAATAATAGCTTTAGAAATACCTTCAAAAATTATGAAAAGCTTCTACTAAAAGATTTTTGAATATCATTAAACTACCATTATAAAACAAAGGTTGTTAAGCTACAGAACAAAACACATGACCATATACATGTTACAAACTTTTGATAACACTGATTGATATATATTTTCTATGATGAAATGTTATCTATATCAATTGGAATTTTATTTGACTGTGAAAATCTTCATTCATGTAATTTTAAGGCGATTCTTTTCGTCTTGTATCAAAATTGCATGTGAGTAAAAACGAGTTTATCACGATACTATTTTGCTATTTATCACTTTTAGTCTTCCAACTAAGGTAGTCTTAAAGACCAGTGAGAAAAATTTCTTATGATACACTGATGGTACTTCTTCTACAGGGCAGAGTCAGGTCAAGAAAATTTTTCTTAGTTAGAGTACAGGATACGAAAAAGGCTTACCTTGCACATCCTTAGTCTATAAACCTATATTGCTATATTTTAAAGATTTGATTTTGTGTGTTATGCAGCATTTAGAAAATCAGTTTAAAAACTTGCAAAAATTTTCATGTAATTTGAATTCTTTATTTTTTGTTATTCTTTTGCAATATGTTGACTCGTGTGCTGAATATTTGTTGAGTGCTATGTGCATAATAAGTTTTCATAAATGAAAAAAAAAAAGTAGAAATACGAACTAGGATATTCAAAATAGACAACAAAAATCATGGAACTTTGATTGCTCAGGTTACGTTCATTTAGTAATAATAAAAAAAAATAGTTCTATGCATATAATTGATAAATTTATATTATTAAGGTGTCATTATTTAAGACGAATCTTCTTGAATATTGGTTGATACTTTATCCAAACGTATTTTTCTAAGATCAGTAGTTAACTTAATTCGATTTATTAAATGTAATTGTTCTTCTTCTAGACGTTGTTTTAAATTATGTAATACTTGTGTTCGTTTAAGCATATTTTGTAATGCTTGTCTTAATTCAACATTTTCATTTTGAATACTTTTTGTTTGATCATAAAGAAATTGTTCAGCTTCCTAATAATTATATTTATTTGAATTTACGAAAAAAAAAAAAAAGAACATTAATTTTTTTTTTTAATCAAAATAACCTTATCAGCTTGTCGTCGAATTTCTTCAACTTTAGCATTTTCATTGTTACGTTGTTGTTGAAGTTCTTTTTCATAAGTTAGTTTCAAATGAGAGATTTCATTAACATGCTGACCACGCATTCGTGTTATTTCATGTTGTAAACGCTTGATTTCATTATTTTGTTGTTCTTGAATTAACTATCAATAGAAATTTATTTACAAGAAAAAAATTTTTTTTTTTTTTAATTTTGAAAATGTATACTTGATATTCTTTCATAGCTTCTAAATCTTTTTTTACTTCTATTAATAATTGTTCTTTTTCAATTAATTGTAATCGTAATTCTACAAAATTAAATATAACATATGATTAATTTGAATTCTTTTCTTTTCTTTTTTCAAGGATTAAATCATTAATCAATAATTTTATTCGAATATTAACCGATAGGAAATTTTTAATTCGATGAAAATATAATATCGATTTTTCAGATGATTTTCTATAGCCAAAAGAAAGGTTAATATCTCTCCAATGATACTCTGTAAAAAAAAATCATCGATGCATTATAATAAGTTAAATACTACTACAAATAGAGCCTGTTGGATCCAGTATTTTTTGAATTGAGACCCAAATCATGCTGTGAAGTTCAATGAAATATCATTGTATAATAGCCGTTTCGAATTCTGCTATTAACATACACTATACGTCTCTCAAACAATGTTGAAAATAGTCTTATAATAAATCAAGTCATAACTGATTGTACTTTTTAGAGTTTGGCCCGTTAGGTCACAATTCTGAATCTGAATCCATTAAATTTTATAAATATTAGCAAAAGACAAAGATAACAAGTTTGTAGAACAAAATTGTCTATTAAATAAGACTAGAATAGAGATTCTGTGAGAATCATTTAGAAATATCCGTTAATCGTAGAAGATCTCAACAAAATACCTTCTTTCTTTTGTTTATATTCTTTTAACATCTTTTCTTTATCTCGATTAATATCTTCAATTTCTTTTCGATGATAATCAGTTAATGTTACAATTTTGGTTTGTCGAAGATTTGTTTTTTTTGACATAAAATGCATGTATTCATCCTGTAATAAAATAAAAAAAACATCTATCATCATGTATGACTTTTATTTTACTGTTTTGATTCGAATTTTTTTTGCTTCTTCATTAAGCCAATGATTTTCTTCTTCACTTTAATTAAAATTAAAATAATATCAAAAATATTACTATATAAAAAGTTGAAATTAACTTACGATACTTGAGCACGTAATTTTATTTCGGCTAATTCTCTTACTTTATTATCGAGTCTAAAATGAATTTTATTCTGAATGAAAAAAAATTATTTACAACATAAAAAATTGAAAAGCTTTTGAACTCTTGAAATGGATTCTATTGGCCAAAATCTTCTTTAATTTTTTTGTTAAAATAATATTCTTCATATGTAAATAAAGTACGATTAAAATAACAGAAGTTTTCACTTAAATGTACTTAAGAATCCTTCTAAAATAAACTTACTCTGTTTGTAAAATAGTTTCTTTTTCCGACGGTCGAACAATTTCTAATTTTTCTTTGGATTTTTTCGTTCCGGATTTTCCTTTTTTGCCTTTCGGTGGCATTATTGAGATTAGTTGTCAAATTCAATCCTTTTATCTTTTAATATAGAAGATTGATGGAATAACCATTATTATTGTTATTACTATAGAAATATATTAATAACATAGAGGGCGTTCATAAAATCAGAATGATCATTTAGCAAAAAAAAAAATTAAACAACAAAAATTATCATAGAAATTATAAAGATTATGAATTAGTCATATTGATGATATTAGTGAAACTAATTTTTAGCCAACCTTTGGACTATGAAAGAGGTTAAAAACTATTTGCTTATTCTTTGTATACTTATGTCTTGTGCAATGATTATGTACAATTCGTAGAAGTTTAGATTTCAAGTGCTGCTCCACTTTTTTCTTGATTGAGAATAAGCTTATGCAAAATAATTGCTTTAAAAAATTTTCATATCCACATGATATAAATTGCCCTGGACTTAAAAAAACAAAAGTCTTTTTTGTATTTACTTTCATTCTTCTTTCACAATCTACCAATCAACATTTACAGAAGAAAAAAGAAAACTTCTCAACAAGTTTAACTAAATAATTTCAGGTTTTTGTTTTCTCTCATATGAAAAAAATTTATTTTAAAACAAAGTCTAATATCATATTGTCCTTTTTCTTATTGATTATCGTCGAAAGTCTATATTTATCTTGAATAATTTCTAAAAACGTCTTCAAGTCAATCAAAATTTGGTTCATGTCGAATTCCAAAGAAACTAATATCCTGTATTGTATACTTATCAATACAAAGTATAATTTTATTCATATACATTATCATGTTAATAATATTTTACTTTTTCTTACTTGTGTTTGTTGTTTTTGTTTTTCAAATTATGTTTTCAGAAATCAATGCTTACACTTCGTCGACTTTTACCCTTATCCTCATTCATTCTAGAAAGCATTTCATCATTTTCTGCATCGAACAATTTAGTAGTTAATTCAAAAAAATATTCTAAAATGTCAACGACACCAAAAACATCCAATCTAAATAAAGGTGCACAAGGTGAAGCACCAGCAAGTAAGGGACCACAAGCAAATCAAAATGAAAATAATCGTTATGAAATTGTTGAATGTGGTCAATTACATACACTTAATTATCGTTGTTATTTTCGTGATGTACAAACAAAATTAATAGTATCACCATTTCATGACATTCCACTTGTTAATGAACATTATACATCATCAAATCAAAATCAACGAACAACAATTTATAATATGGTTGTTGAAGTACCACGATGGACAAATGCTAAAATGGAAATAAATAAACAATTAAAATTGAATCCACTTTCACAAGATGTTAAAAATGGTTTGTTTATTTTATTTTATTTAAATATTTTTGTATTTTGTTTTTTATAATTAATAGGTAAACCTCGTTTTGTTCATAATGTATTTCCTTATCATGGTTATTTATGGAATTATGGTGCATTACCTCAAACATGGGAAGATCCAAATCATGTTGATGAAGATACAAAAACAACAGGTGACAATGATCCATTAGATGTATGTGAAATAGGTACTGATCTTCATCCAACTGGTTCAATTGTACCTGTTAAAATAGTTGGTGTACTTGGTTTAATTGATGAAGGTGAAACAGATTGGAAATTAATTGGTATTGACATTCGTGATAAACTTGCATCACAAGTAATATTTTAATATATTATTAGATTATTCGAAGAGAAAATTTGTTTTCATTTTATAGATAAATGATATTAATGATGTTGATACACATCTTCCAGGTTTACTTGAAGCAACACGTCGTTGGTTTAAATATTATAAAGTTCCAACAGGAAAACCTCCAAATAAATTTGCACTTAATGAACAATATGGTGATCGAGCATATGCACAACGTGTTATTGATGAAACAAGAAAATATTGGGAAAAATTAGCAAGTGGTGAAACAAAAGTTGACGAAAAAGTTTGTTCAATTGTTAATACAACACTTCATAATCGTGGTACAATCAAAAAAGAAGATGCAGAAAAAATTGTTGAAGCTAATGAAAAACATCAAAAAGAACCGGCCAAACTTGATTCAAGTGTTCATCAACTTGCATATGTTCGAGATCAATGATTAAATGAATACCAAAACAAAAAAAAAAAATAATGAACTCATAATTGTCATTAAGAAAACTAGCCCATTATTGAATGATTTCTTTTTAAAACTCAATGTGTTTTTCTTTTCATTTGTAACACATTTCTATTATATTTAAGAATATAAAAATTGAATGATTAAAACAAATAAGTTTGTGAAAAAAATATCTTATTTTCACTATAGAATCATGAAACAGAATTCATTGGTTCGTCTTAATGGAATATCTAATAATATATGGCATCTGTTGCTTAATCGGCCATCATATCATAATGCTTTTAATACTGAATTAGCACATGAGTTGATTGCTCATTGTGAACATATTCATACATCGAATGATATTCGAGCAACTGTAATTATTTCTGGCGAAGGTCGATCATTTTGTTCAGGTGCTGATCTTAAAGAACGGCAATCAATAAAAAGTTCAAAACAATGGATGCAACAACATCATATATTTGAACGTATGTTCAATGCTTTGGCACAATTAAAACAACCAACAATTGCTTGTGTAGAAGGATTCGCTTTAGGTAGACATTGGATTAGTAAATTTTTCAAAACATCAATTTATTCTTCATTTATCTAGCTGGTGGTTTTGAATTAGCTCTTAATTGTGATATGATTATTGC